TTTTTTTTTTGTGAGGAACAATTCATTCATTAGAGAAGGTGCAGCTCGGCTTTAAACAAAGAAAACAACTTTCTTTAAACAACTCACTGAAACGCAGATTGTGGGGAAAAACCTGAAAAACAACATCTGCTCAAAGTAAGAAGAAACTTCAGTGCCTCGAGGACGTCCACAGGCTCTTTATGGCTCTTAATGAGCGCGATGGATTCAGATCTCAGCGGGAGCCTCAGCGTTGTGTTCTGGCCCCGCTTAAAGGGCCAGCAGTGTGTTGTTTTTTAGGTCAGTCGTACATCCTTTTTTGGTAAAAGCAGCGTTTTACGGAATGCATTGTTCTCCGGATGTTGCTTCCTCAGAGTAACACCGACAGACACGCTGCCCCTCATATGGAGCAGATTAAGTTTGGTTTCACACTGTCACAGAAAACGGAGAACACAATCCCGTCTTTGTGTCTCAATCTCCAACGAAATGAAGCTCTTCTCTGCGAGATCAGTGCGAGACCCAGGAAGGAAAGCGATGGAAAGCTCCGGCTTACTGACTACGGAGCTGAAATATGAGTTAATTATTGTTTGAGTAATCGATTACTCCTTTAATTCTGACCAATAATCGATTCATCGGATAGAAGATTTGGCACTTTTTTTTATTTAACTATTTAAGTCTATTTTGTATAATATTAAAAATGCAAAGAAACAAATAATTCTATTTCTTTTTTAAATGGCAAAGTATTTTTTTATTGCCAAAAATGCAACAACAAAGCATTTTTCTAGTAAATGCTTGATCATTTGTAGCAATGCACCTGCAGCATCTGTCAGTACTTCTGACATCAACATGAAAAGCTCAGCCCTTCCTGACACATTCTAGGGCTGAAACAGTTATTAGTCAGTTATTGAAAAAAAAATTCGTCAATTAATATAGTAATCGTTTAATAATTAAATTGTAGTCTAACAGAGGCCATTTTCTGAAAGAACAACACAGTCAGAGCAGCAATTAATCCAAAACTGTCCAAAAAATACACAAATTTACCTTTAAGAAGAAAAACCTTCTTCAGCTAAAGAGAAGGATTGTTTGATACAAATAATCAAGCATATGCTGATGTAATACTCTTATTGCACTTTAGGCATAAAAGTTTATTTTCTTGCTATAAAAAGGCTCGAGTGGTTAAATAAAGAGTCTCCAGAATTTGAATTGTTGCAGTGTAGGGCTGATCGGATGATTATTTTTTGAATTGACCACCAAAAGGAACTAAAGAGATTTTTTTAAAGACTTTGAACCAGGTGAAGCTAAAACGGTCACTTGGAGAGTTCTGGGTAGAACAGATTTACAGACAAAGAAGTTGTCTCTTTTTTTGTTTTGTTTTGCATCTTAAATGCAAAACGTATTTGGTCTTTCTACAGTTTTGTCTTAGTTAATGCTCTGACTGTGTTGTTCTTTCAGCAAATGGCCTTTTTTAGAGTCTGTTAGTCATTTGACGAATGTTTCAATAATCACGATTAATCCGATTAATTGTTTCAGCCCCGTCCAGAGCTGTTTTGCCCTGTCATTGCTGTCCTTCGCAGGTCGACCTTTCACACTTTAAGTACCCGGAATCCCTCTCTGTCCACATGTATGAGTGACGCACTCAGTGTTCCACACAGAGGTCATAATCACTAAATCTGCAGGTATAAATAGACATCAGAAGGTGCCAGCTACTCCCCCCCCAGCTGGAGCTGGACATTGTCTCTGCGTGTCCCTCACTCTGCACGTCCTAACTCTATTCCAGATCTTAATTTAATCATTTCTTCTTTTTTTTTATTTTTTATCCCTGGCTGTCATCCACCCTCCTCTCTCGCCTCAGTCATGGGTTCTGCGTCATCCCGTCCCGTTGGGTGTTGCGTCACATGAACCGGCCGCTGACCTTCACTCCCCTCCCTGTTCTGCAGGTATTCCATGCAGGAAATCTATGACGTCGTGGCGCAGGTGGAAAACTACCGCCACTTCGTTCCCTGGTGTAAGAAGTCGGACGTTGTGTTCAGGCGCTCCGGGTTCTGCAAGGCCAAGCTGATGGTGGGCTTCCCCCCTGTGGTGGAGAACTACACCTCCCTCATCACGACAGTGCGACCCCACCTGGTCAAGGTAACGCACAAGCATACATAGCCCAAATTACACCCTTTCATTCACCTGGATGTACTTTAGAGAGAGGTTTCTTGTTCTAAATTAACACAGAAATGTAAAGTCATAGGAAAATGACACGGGTTGCCAGTATGTTTAAAAAAAATAAAAATAAAAAATCTGAAAAGTGTGGCGTGCATTTATATTTTCACTACATCTGGTTTCACCTCAACATAACTGCAGCTGTTCTCTGAAGGCCTCAGAGGTTTATTAGATAATATTGTCCAACAAACAGCATGGAGACTTCAAGGGGTATGAAAACTTTCTCAGTGGACTGGTTTTGAGTCGGGGTTTACAATATACCGCAAGTACCGTTATCGCAATATCATTGTCCATGATATTTATATCGCAAAGGACTGGAGAGCAATAGTTGTTGGCTAATGTAGCTTATGACTTCTAAAGTTGTATTTTTTTCATTCTAATGTAATATTTATATGTAATAAAGTCTCATATTGTTAGCAACAGTTTTCACGTGATAGAAATTACATGCTAACGGTCACATAGAGCAGGAAGCACAGACTGCAGAGAAGAAAGCAAGCAAATATTGCGATATTTCTAATGCTCTGTTTTTGAGCATGTACATGAATGAGCGCAAGTGATTTGAGATATTTTATTATGGCTTAAATCAGTTTTTTTTTTCCCCACAATGTGAGGGGAAATAATGGAAGAACTGTGCATTTTTAAAGGAAAAAAGCAGAAAAATGTGATAAAATCCATTAAGATGGGAACATTTGAGGCAGGTGTTTGTCAGAAACCTCAGCCTAGTCATAAGTTCAACTTTTCAGAGGGCTTTCAGCACCGACACCAATAATAGAACAGAATAGAAGTAACTTTTGTTTTCCCTCAGTGGGGAAATTCAGGAAAAAAAAAATGAAAACAGAAGTAACAATGACAGACTCTACAGTAAGGACACATCTACAGCATAATTAAAAGTTACTGTATGGTTATTCAGCATATACTCTAAAGAAATCTGAGTTGGATCGTGTAAAACATCTACAAAATGTTGCTCAGCAGCAGCTGTTTAAACAGTTCGATATGGGATGTAGTTGGTGTTATCCTCTGATCATTTTGGGGGGGATAGAGGCAGAAAAATCAGATCAGTAATGGAGAAGTTTGCCATGATGGGTGAGCTTTAAACAGAATTTTTGACAGATTTCTGCTTTATTGACTTTAAAAGTTTCCAGAAGCAGCTCTGTTTCCCCCCCTGCCCTGTGGAACCTCACACATCAGCTTCTGTAGAAAACCAACCCGTTCCTCTCGTGCTCAGACTTGATCTGCCTCTGTCAGGATGACTCTGCGATTTGAATGTTTTGGGGAAACTTGCAACTTCATCCTGCTGGAGCATTTTTAAAAACCTCACAAGTCAGAAGTAGGTTTTTTTTTTTTTTTTTTTTTTTTTTTTTTTTTTTTTTTAAAGCTTGAGCAATGTTTTCATTTAAAATGGTGCACATTCCCCAGCTTTAGGCTAAGGCCCTTATTTAGCAACAAAGTCTCTGAAAGAATTTGAAATGGAAAGAATGAAGTTCTTCTCACCCCCCAGAGCAGATCAGGTGGAAATTCACAACCTGAGCCACCTGTCTGACATTAGGAGAGGGTTGAAAAGGTTTTTAGTCCTCAGACGTGGCTGAAACCTTCAGTTTTTGATGAGCAGCTCGTGTTTGTTTCATGACCCGCTCTGTGATCAACCACTTCAGATCTGTTCCACCCTCACCAGGGGGAAAGATCAGGAGGGAAAAGGACTAGTCAAAGCAGAGCTGACGATTAGCTGTGCCTGAAGTCTCATAACTGGATGTTCTTTTATTGTTTGTTTTTTTTTGCTGAATAAACAGTTTCTACCCACCAATTGATAACAAAGCTGAGGGTTAATATTCCTTCCATTCAAAAACACACTGTATGGAGCTCCATGTAAACATAGTGACATTTTCATTTCATTTCTCAGTTTTATTTAAACCTCACATTGGTTCATTTTCATAAGCCGCCTGCTATTGATGGGATCAGATTCCAGCTACAGAGCAGAAGGTCCAAATGGACCAGAAAGAACTCAGGAGCCATGTTGCTTCTCCAACTTAAAATGCAAAATATTTTTTATTGTTTGTTTTTAGATGCTCAGGAATAAATTAAATGTGCAATATTTTGGTGACACAAAGTACAAGCCTTTTTTTTTTTTCCCTTTTTTTTCAGTTTGTTTGGTCTAGAAAATCTTTGTCTAATGATGGCAACTAAAAGAATAACTTTCCTTTTTTGTAAGCGAAACGTTGCCGGATGTTTGCAGCCCTGCTTTATGAAATTAGAATTAATATAATTAATATTGTTCCATAAACACATGTACTTTGATGCACTTTGGTTTGTGTTCAGATGATGGTCAAAATACACAAATGGAGCATTTCTTAGGAAATAAAACCAGTTGAAATTGGAATCATTAGTCCAGGACTGAAAGTGAATCGGTTTGGACTCAGGACTTTCATTTACATACTTCTGGAGAACATCTGGGGACTACTCTGGTGTTTTCCTTTTCTATATTTTAACATAACTCTGACATTAGCTGGAAAAATAGCCCAGCCCGACCGTTTTTAAGCTGATTGGCTTTGGAGGGCAAAATGAATCCAAGACACTAAAAGCTGTGAGGCTCCAAAGGACAGGATGTTCCTCTGGGCCTGACTGAGCAGCACGTTTCAGGTCGTTCTGTGATTTGTGAGCCCAGGAGTGTTGAGGTCAGAACTAAGAGTGTGGAACCAGCTGCTCCAAACAGCCACACGTCCCTCCCTGGATGCATGGCTGGAGGAAGTATTAGGTTAAAGGTCAGAGTTTGGGAGCAAAGACACCAGAAGGTTTCAGATTATAAATAAATGAGTGACGTATCACCCCGTCAGTGGAGGTTTGAAGCCACCTAAATGAGTTTGTGTGTGTCCTTAGGCGTCCTGTTCAGACGGGAAGCTGTTCAACCACCTGGAGACGGTGTGGCGTTTCAGCCCGGGCCTCCCTGGCTACCCTCGGACCTGCACTGTGGATTTTGCTGTGAGTAAAGTAAACCATGGCTTTAATTACTACTATAGATGAACAAGTAAAAAAACTGATGGCATTGCAGCAAAAAATTGTAATTGAGCATAAAGAGTTGCTGTGTGAATGTAGCCATAGAGGCAATAGCTGCTTTTCCATTGCAAATGTGCAACACGATGTAAAAAATTACGCTAAAGTCGGAAACCCCCCCCCCCCCCCCAAAAAAAAAACACAAACACTCCGTTTTCAAAACAAGAAGAACCTA